ATCCTCCTCTCCCCTTTTCCCCAAGAATCATCAGTTCACTCCCTTTCCATACCTCTGATTCTATTATATTCAACAGTTAATATTGTTCATCAGATTTTTTTTTAATTCCCTTGGTTTTTAGATTCACTTGTTGATAGTTATGTATTTGTTGTTCATAATTTTTATCTTTATTTACTTTCTCTTCTGAAAGAACCCCCTTCAGCAATTCATATAATTCTGGTTTGGTGTTGATGAACTCCTTTAGCTTATTTTTTTTTTATTGGTGAAGCTCTTTATCTGGCCTTCGATTCTGAGTGATAGCTTTGCTGGATAGATTATCTTTGGCTGTAGGTTCTTGCTATTCATCACCTTGAATATTTCTTGCCATTCCCGTCTGGCCTGCATGGTTTCTGTTGAGAAATCAGCTGACAATCGTATAGGTGCTCCTTTATAGGTAACCACCTTCTTTACTCTTGCTTCTTTTAATATTCTCTCTGTCTTTTGCTCTTGGAATTTTAATTATGATTTGTCTTGATGTGGTACTCTTTGGATTCCTTTTGTTTGGAGTTCTGTGCACTTCCTGGACTTGTAAGTCTAATTCTTTCACCAGGTAGGGGAAGTTTTCAATATCTTGCTCTTTCTCATCTTCTGGGACCCCCATAATTCTGATGTTGGTTTGCTTGAAGTTATCCCAGAGGTTTCTTACATTATCTTCAATTTTCTGGATTCTCTTGCCTTCTAGCTTCTGCGGAGGAGTGTCTTCTGGCTCTTTATGTTCCAACTCTTTGACTTGATTCTTGCGATCTTCCATTCTGTTTTTAGGACTCTGTATAATATTTTTTATTTCAGTCAATGTATTCTTTATTTCTTGTTGATCCCTTATCATTTCTTGTTGATTCCTTATTAATTCTAGTTGATCCCTTTTCATATCCTTATAGGTCTTATCCATCTTTTCTAGGAAATTCTTGAAAAACCTTATAAGCGTAGATTTGAACTCTATATCCAGTCGCTTTTTGTCCTCCATTTCTTTCGTTTGTGATCTAGTTCGTCTCGGCATGTTCGCAGCTTTCCTGAGTTGGTAGCCTAAAAAGTCTCTGTGTTCTGCTTGGATGGGGCGGAGTTTCAGGGTGGAGCCTACAGCTTTGGCTTCTGTCAGCCCCGCCCTATGCGGGTCCTTCAGTACTCATTGCAAGCCCCTCTGAGAGAAAGGTGCCCTTGATTTTCGCCTGCTGTCAAACAGTCTATGTTCTCCCCCAATGAGCCCGGTATTGGGGTTCAGTTCAGTTGGTAGTTGGATTGGAGGTGGCGTTCAGAGCAGTCTGGAGCCCCAGTCTCCTTCCCCCCAGGGCAACCCCGTGGCACAGCCAACTGTCCCTTCTCTGTGCAATGTGTGCGCCTCCAGGACCTCCTCTCGCCGCTCCCCCGGGGTTCCGCCTCACAGCCCAACTCCCTCTGTGTGAGCCTGGGTCCCCCGGGTCTGGCCTAGAACTGGGGTTCAGAGCAGTCAGAACTGGGGCCCAGCACAGTCGGAGTTTTATCTCCTTCCTGCTTGGGAATGACAGCCAGGCACTCAGCCCCCCTCCTCTCCGGCTCCGTCCTCTTGGCGCGCGCTGCGTGTCTCCGTACCTTAGGCTTTTACAGCTCCTCTGCGCTTCCTTCTGTTTTTTTTCCTTGCTTCTCGTTGTAGAATTTCCAGTCAGTAGACTTTCCTGTAGTTCTGGGTAATGTCCATTTTATATTTTAGTTGTATTTTATTGAAATTGTTGTGTGTGGCTGCGGCTAGGTATTTACCTGTCAGCCATCTTAGTACCTCTCAATGTTTTATTTTTTTAATATGCTGCAGAAATTTAGTAATTAATTTGTATGCACCAAAAACTAATGAAAAGGGTTGAAAATTGCTGTCTTAGAGGATAGATTTCCAGCAAATTCCAGAAGGCAGATTTCTGGAAAGTTGCATTATTGTGACCCTATACTACAGTGACTTCCCTGCTATTTAGTGAGCTTCAGCCATGCCCTCTCCAATGGTCTCAGCCTCAGGGAGAGGAAGATGGGAGGTAGGGTTTGCAGAGGAAACGTTCTTGAGCTATATATCAGTCTTAGGGCAGTTCTCCTAATTGCAATTTCTGTATTCTTTAAAATTTTCTATTTACTTCTTACTAGACAATCCCTCAATATCACAATCCTCTGTTATAGGTAATAATTCCTTATAGTAAGCCTTCCTTTTCAGATTACTGTGTGGTTTCTGTATCCAGACTGGTACTGACTGATACATACTTCCTCTTATATTTTAAAGTAACAACTAAAATATCTTATCAAAACTTTAAATAACTGAAAAAGATGAATTTTCTGATGTTTTATATAAAAATTACATGCTTAAAATAATTTTTTTCAAAACTTTAGAGCTGCCCAGCCAGTGTCACTCAGTGGTTAGGCATCAATCTGTGAACGAAGAGGTCACAGTTCAATTCCCGGTCAGGGTACATACCCAGATTGCGGGCTCAATCCCCAGTAGGGGAAATGCAGGAGTCAGCCAATCAATGATTCTCTTTCATCATTGATGTTTCTATCTCTCTCTCCTCCCATCCTCTCTGAAATCAATAAAAACATATTTCAAGAACAAAAACAAAACCTTAAAGCTATTTATAATGAATGAAGAAGGCCACAATATAACCTAATTTGCTAAGGCAGTCCTATCTGTCATATCTATCAACCAAATTAGGCTTATGATCTGTTCCAAGAAAAGACTTTCGGGTTTTTTTTATATCGGAATAAGTATATAAATATGCTGATACACATTCTCACAACAACCATCTCATTTAAGTAGACTAGTAGGAAATGGAGATACAAACAATAGATGGAGAGATAAATGAGCAGATAAGCAGGCGGGCAGCCTGAGCCTTGCCAAGACTAAATAATATTTTAATAATTTTTTACCAGTTCAGTATTTTTCAATATTTTCTTGCCTTGCTTTCATGGGTCTCTCCTTCAGAATTAATGCTGTTCAGAATTAATGCTTTATGCCTTGGATACTTTACCCTGGGAATATAAATCACAGTAAGAGACCTTTTGTGAAGTGGGAGAAGGCTGATTATAATCAAGGAGATAGTAAGGAAGAAGTGACCAACCAAAGACTCTCAGACACACCAGTTTCAGGAGAGTGTACATATAGAACCTGAGGACCAGAAAATTGGTTCCCTCAAAACTGCCCTTGCCCTGTGGTCCCTGGAAAGTTCTCTGATAGAAAGATATAAACACTAAATCAATAAACTACCATTCTACAGTAGAGGTTAACACAGGTATATTTCCCCCCTAAAATGGACAGGAAATCAAATAAGGACAATGTTTTTAAAGTAGAATAACAAGCCGAAACCGGTTTGGCTCAATGGATAGAGCATCGGCCTACAGAGTGAAAGGTCCTGGGTTTGATTCTGGTCAAGGGCATGTACCTTGGTTGCGGCCCATCCCTAGTAGGGGTGTGCAAGAGGCAGCTGATCAATGATTCTCTCTCATCAAGTTTCTAACTCTCTATCCCTCTCTCTTCCTCTCAATAAAAATATATTTTTAAAAATACATAAAGTAGAATAACAAGATGAAACCATATTCCATAAAAATTTAGCACATCAAAGCTTTCCTTCCAAGAATGCTAAAGGAAACAGAGGCACTAGCCCATCAAATGTGAAACTTCTTAACCCCTGCCAGTATCTATGTTTGGATAAGGTTCTTCCTTTTTGTTTTTTTGTGATTCAAATTTTCACATGGGTTAAATCCTTCATTCACAATGGTTCTACTTTTTATTTAAAAGAGTAAGTTTTCCTCAGATTCATTACTTTTTTAAATCACATGATTTAAAGAGGTGGGGAATCATAAACAAAAAGCAAAGGGGATGTGGCCAATTTTTACCTTTTGGGATTTAACAAATTTAACATGGCTCAGCAACTATCATAAGTGTTATATCAACTATTATGACACACATTAGAGGTGTTGAAATACAAGGATATATGTTTTCTAAGAGAAAATGGGTGACAATTTGAAAGGCTGGGTTTTCAACATAAAGAATAAATACTTAAAAAGTCAGAACAGATTCTCAACCAAAACTAATGTGCAAAAAGGTTTATGCAAGCTAACAAGGGTTTGAAACTTTGAAAAATAATTTTTCAAAGAAATTGTTTCCTGTTATTTCTTTAAAAAATTGTTAATATTAGTGCTTTAAACGGTAAACATTTATGGAGAAATATTATGTTTTACATGCTACACATATTAGAGTCTTGTTTGTACATTTCCCCTAAAAAATTTGTAATTCTGTCTTAAATACATGACATTTACTCTCAATTAAGGTTTCTGCCTTTTTATTTCCCCAAATTAGCATCCCACAGGAAACACAGGGCTTCTAGGATTTTCTCCTCCTAGATAAATACATTATTGGTAAGAATTTTCCTTTCTTGAATAAAACTCATAATCTCCAGAATACACTGTCTGAAATAACTATTTTGTGGAAAAGTCTATGCACTGCCTATTTGATAGTAAACTATTGAGATCTTTAAAGATTTTGGATCAATACAAAAACTGTTAAACTCATGCAATTTGTTTATATATGTACAAGTATCTGTTATAATTCCCATGTTAGTTTCAATACAGGTATTACTCTTCATTGAAGAAATATGGATAATCAACTTGGTGGATACTATCCCATTTGAAGGATACACATGAAGAACTTTCATTATGGTCCAATAAATAAATGTAGGGCCATTACTTGATAGAAAAATTCAATAAATACAGAAATATTTTTAAGCTCGCCAAAATCTTTTATAGCTTTCCTAAGCACTGTGTTTACTACAATGAACAAGCTAATGTTGGGTATTTGAAAAATAAAAATAGTGCAAAATCAACAATTACTTTTATTTTGTGGGAGGGAAAAAGAAATATGAAAATCTAGTAATGTAAAGATTCTAATATGAACAAGCACTAACTAGTTTGTTGCCATTTGTGATATGCCCGTAGCCAAAGATTTGTAGCATACTTACTTGAACAATGGAGTTCCACAAACAACACATTTATATATTCCAGGATCTTTGTGATGAGTATATTCTCCTTCAAAGGCACTGATAAACAACAAACAGAACGTTTAAAAAATTAAGTAAAATTAGTATTATTTCTTACAGAATGTATTTACTTAAAATATATTTCTCTAAGGGCTTTTTGCCCTATAATGAGAACAGACCAAACATATGGAAATCTGAACACCACTAATATATTTCAAATCTATATAATAAAATGTGCATATAACTATTCTAAACTAGTCTAGGTTAAATTAAAAAAAAAAATTTTTAAATAAAAAATAAGCCGTGTAGTTACGTAATGCTTAGGGGGGGAGAGGGGGAAATCCTATTTAAAAAAAAAAAAAAAAAAAAAAAAAGCCTAGTTCAGATTTGCAGGAAAAAAGACAGCATTATTACATAAGATTTCTACTACTCTGCAGTGTCCAAGAGTATACACCAGAAAATGCAGAAAGATCCAAAGACTTCAAGTGGAAGGAGTCTTGTTTTCTGGTTTGAAAAGGAATATTGCAGCTTTAAGGGAATATTTTTCTAAGTTAACAATCTTAAAGGCTAGGAGGTCATTCAGCTAATACAAATCAGCTGTGCTAGCCCAACAAAAAGTCTATGTGCTCTGCAGCTTGTTTTTATTATCCTTTCACCCTCTTTATGAGGTCCAATTTTTTTTATAAACAGAATTTTTAAGAATGACCTAATCTCTAGTTGTTTGTGTGCATTAAATCATTTTGCTGGTCATGTACACAACAGGACGGGTAGCGGTCCTCCCAGGCCGGGACTGAAGTCCAGTCCGCCGCTAACTCATAGTGCAGTGAGAGTGGACTTCGTCAGGGATTCAACACTTGGTAAATTCAGTAAACAGTATCCACTGTGACAGGAAGAGAGTGTTGCCTATTAACAAGAACCCCATGTGTGGTAAAGAGCTCTTTCAGCTCATGAATGAAAACAAGAAGTTACATAATTAATAAATTCGGATCAGAGGTAAGTTACGGCCTTATGCCAAGCTCCATGGTATAAATTAGACAACAAAATGGTTGGATCTTGGCAAGTTACCTTTGAGCTGGAATCAGCTGAGAGAGACTTTATTCACTAAAAAGAGTCTTGGAAGTGAACAGACGCTTTTTTTCAGGACTTAGGGCGAACTTCCAAGGACCAAAGCCATGTGAGGGCAGTTATTGAAAATTTTTGACATTCCAACCACAAATGAGCCAATAAATACTTTCTCCACATGTGCTTCAAAAAGAAATTGGAGTGGGGTAGAAAGGAACTAAATTATGCTACCTTCTTTTTGCAGCCAAAACGTCTATACTTACAATGGCCACCTTCAAAATTTCAGCATTCTGGCATAGTGCCATGTCCCTCATGGCTTTGCTTACTGTGATGTCTTCCCAAAAAATGTACCTAAATCGCTATTGCTTCCACACATTTTGTAGTAAACTAAAAACAGGCCCTTAATAAAAGCCTTGTGACTTTACATAAGATAGAGTGTTCATTAAATGGGGGAAAGAATAAATAAAACTTAGTCTTAACCTAAACAATACCATTTTCAAACCTTTTCAAGGATCCTAATTTGTAGTCTTTAGCAAATAAGTGTAGAATCCTTTAAATGTCAAGGAAGAGGATTCAAAGGCAGAGGGGGCGGGGGTGAAGGGGAGCGAAGAAAACTAGCTTTCGCTTAATGGCTTTTTCTTACATTTCACCTTACCTTTCGGTCCCTTTCTCCTGGGTGACATGATACTGCATGGGTGTCAGCCGCTTCCTCAGTTCCTGCTGGGAAAAGGCCACCTTACAGTTCTTTTTATCCCTACATGACCCTGGAAAGAGAAAGGAGGAAACTTTTTAGCTTGAATCCTAAATAATTGCTTTGGCTGGTCTCCACAGCACAGCTTCTGCAGTCACTTGTCAATGACCAGATCAGTTTCTAATGCACCAATTTACCTGAACTGCAGCTGATTATTTCTCTAAAACAAAACAAACAAACAAACAAAACATTTCTCAAGATTCAGGTGGTTGCACTGGAGCACAAGGTGCTGTATCAATTGCGACATGACAGTAAAAACTCACTGAACACTCACAAGATGGGAATATATCCTTTCTGCCTCCCAATACCTTGAAATTCTTTTTTTTTTCAAATAGAAAATTTGAAAAGTATAATTCTATTTACACTGTATATATAAGGTGATGAGCATATTATTACACAATAATTCTCTATTCCATCGTGTTAGGTTTTAGTAGATAGCAGCTTCATCATTCATTTTACATTCTGGGTAATTTAAATACCATGTTATTTAAAATATATGTATATTTTTTTTTCATGACTAGGAATTGTTGTTCTCTGTGATTCTGTTAGATACTTCACTAGGTTCTATACAGTGCTCAAAAACAAATGTTTTTTTAAAGACTGTGTCTTATACCATGTTAAACAGGCAGCAAGAAACTTTTCATAAACCCCAGGAGAAGACATTTACACTAATGCAGACTCACCAAGTTCCAGAGGGAGGGTGATAAAAAAAAAAAAAAAAAAAAAAAAAATAGGGAAGGACGAAAGCCAAAGAGAAGACGAATCGTGAATGCAATGTTATTGAGAGACCTACATTTTCTTCTTGCAAAGTATATCTAGGAACACTTCACTGATTAAGTGTATTTGAAGGGTGAAATAGTTTTAATGTGATTCTAATAACAATGGCAGCTTTTATTTCACCCTATACAGACCGCAGTAAAATGTTCAGACAACACCTGTTTGTATGTAGTATTTTATTTTACCTGCACAAACGAGAGAAAAGAAATATAACTCCGGGACAAGGCAACCTTCCTGGCTGCAGTGAAAGTGCTTTTCTTTGCCATCCATCACCGCGGGAAGGCGGCTCGCAGATGGCCCTGCCTGCGAACATTTCTTGTCATGTTTTGAAATCACTAAAAGGAGGCTTGCTTAGTTTCCTGAATATTAAACTCAACGTCTTTTGAAATATAAAGGCATATGATTTAGGTGTAGAAATGCTTTATACTTCTTTTACTTTTAAGGCACCTAATGTTCACAGTATGTGAGTTCCCTGAAATTAGAGAACTAACCAGTTACCCTGATGGTGGGATGGAAGGAGGATTTCAGCTTCCAGACTCAGGGCCACCAAGGCAGAGGAATTGGTTCTCTAGGAGAAAATATGGAGGCAGGAAAAGAGCAAACCAGAGGCAAAAAAAAAAAAAAAAAAAAAAAGGTGCACCTTGGAGCAGGCGGGGGGGGGGGGGGGGGGCAGGGGGGGGGGGTTGTCAAACAGCGCCTTTCCTGACCTTACACACAGCGGTTGGCCCTGCGCTGGCCTGGAAAGATCCTTAGGAAGAGCTGGCCTATCGTTAATGGCGAGATGGTCTCTCCTCTCACTGGGCCCACCCCCCCATATTACACTAGGCTTTATACAAACACCTACTTCTTACACTGTTAATACGTTCCAAGGCGTAGATAGAAATGTTTCCCTGAGAAATGTTTGTCCTGTCAGAACAGACCTCTCCACAGCTTGAATACAGAGCTGCTCTTTCTTAAATTAAATAAGCAATTGACTGTGATAGGCCCCTTTCTGTTCAATTCACTATAGACTTCTTAGACGTTATCTTTTTATTTCTTTGTTTTTGGTAAAGGTTGCATCTCTGTTGATTTTGTTCCAGAAAAATATATAATTAATTGCAAATTTAACACAACAAAATATCTTGGTTGAAATTATTCTTCCCAATGGCATGCATAGTTAAAATCTGTACAATTAGAATTAAACAATTCTGTCCCCAAAATATTTTTGCTAATATATGTTCATTCATACAAAAAGACCAATTGTGTTCCCAAAGTTGAGAGAACTAAGCTACCCATCTGTATGTCATTTAGTACAAGAGAAGCAACTGCAGGTTTAAATTACATGGTATTGGATTGCAATTTCCTAACATTGGATGCTTTTCTGCTTTTTTACCTTGAGTCATTTACGAAGGAGTGTTCATAAAAAGTAGCTTAAAGCACAGATGCTTGCAAATCGTTTAGGCAAAGATGTTTCTCTCTTTTTCATTCCCCTCTCTCAAAAATCTCTCTTTTCTGAAGAATAAAACTGTTGGTCAGTATTGATGAACCATGTCAAGTATTTGTAGAAGGAGAAAAGGTAAAATTGAAAACATCTGATTGAAGTAAATAATACAAACATAAAAGCTTTACTAGTGAATGAAGGGTATTGAAGAGACTTTAGCTCATAGATTAGAAATTACTTTTGATCTAAACATTGTTAAAAACAGATTATTTTCCACTATGAACCATCTCATTAACTGTGCTGCAGAGACCTCGTTTTAACAGCGAGCTCTGAAAGAGTACTGCTGTACCTTTTGTTAGTCTCCGTCTTATTTGGGAGGGGGATAGAGATTTCATTCCAGCTTTCTTTGTTTGTCTTTCAAGAACCACTAAAGCAGTATTCACACAAATTTTGTAGGAATGTGCCCTATGTCATAGCCTACAAATTATTTGGTTTTGGTGCCCTTAAAGGTCATCTTCCAAATTAGCAAAATTTTCCTACATCCTGGCTTTTCAACCTTAAATATAAATATTGTTTCCTAACTGTAAGTGAGGTTTGTTCTTTAAGAAAGGCTAGTGCTTATTTAAAGTTGTCAACTTTGTACATTTTTATTCTTTGGTCATACTATGTTCTCAAAATAATTAGGCTGTGAAAATGTACCTAATAGCAAAAGGAAGTATATGTCAACTAGAAACAACTATTGTGATTTTATATGAAACAACTCAATGAGAAGTTAGTCAGATTTTAATAAATTTCTTGTCACATGGTTTAATAATAAAATACTTCCAGGGCAACTGAAAGCTATACTATTACATTAGTTCTTTAGAATCACAACCCAAAAATTGGCATATACAGGTCAGAGCAAAAGTAGGTTTACAGTTGTGAGTACATGAAACAGTTTATTCTTGTATTATGTATTCATTATTGTGTTATTTCCCATACAAACAACTGTAAACCTACTTTTGTCCCACTCTGTATAAACAAAGAAAGCCTTCGATTTTGTCTCTGATTTCCTTCTTCCTATCAGACTCACTTTCCTAAAGTCATGTGGTGCCACTGTTAATTTTGAAGAAATCATTTCATTTTGAAATTCTAGAATAATTCATTTGATGGTTTCCCTTTACTATCTTCACTTAGGTACTATAATTTTCTTATTACACAGGGTAATTTAACATTACTATTATGTGACATCTCCTCAATAACCTCTAAATTGGCTTAGAAATATGTTATGAAAAGATTTTTCCCTTTATTTAAATGTTTAATAGAGTACTTTGAAGGCAGAAGTATGTGTGTCTACATATAACACAAAGTGTATTTGAGGGGCAATACTGCCACTCATATATCTAATCACAATACCATTCTCTATAGAGTAACCGTGGTATAGATAAGATCCATCGTGGACCCAAACTAAGGGCATTTATTTACTGAAATGTGCCCAAAGCCTCTTTTTATATTAAGGCTTGTTCCATGTTGTTGTCTCAAAGGCAATATTGTCTTGAAGCTCCAATGTGAAGCCTTTGCTCTAAGGAGTAATAAACTTATAGCAAGTCCATGTTCTGGCTCAGCCTACTTCTCAGACAAGTGACCGTAGCAAGGCAGTCTCTGACTTTGTATTACCACCCTCACAGGTCTGCTCTAAGGAGTACAATACCACTTAGTAAACACTGAACAAATGCAGCATCGCGTTAGCATTCTGATTATAGTAAATCCCGCAGTGAAAACTATATTTTAAAAGGGAACCAGGTCAGGTAGTATTTCAGTGTGCTGCAATAGTTTACTAGTAATTAGTTTTCTATACTGATTCCCTCAGAACAGTATTTTGCTCAAGTTATCATTGAAAATGTTTAAAATAGGAATTGAAAGAAGATAACTGAAACAGTACCTACTATGTGCCAGGCACATTTCTAAGCATTTTTACATGAACCCATTTAATCCTCTCAATAATTATAGGAGGCAGATGTCATTCCTATTTTACAGACACAGAAACTGAGGTTCAGAGGTTTAATATAACTTCCTAAAGACAAAAAGCAAATATTAGGTATATCTGCTCAAGGCCCGTGCTATCTGACTGCAAAGCCCATGGACATTATATTTTCTGTGAGGAAAAAATATGTTGCAACTTATTTCTTTAATTATGCAATGACTTTCAGCTTAAAAACTGTTACTGACAATTTAAGATAATAAGGAAGACAAGTTATAATCACCACAGTACAATGTATCCAGAAAAAAATAAATACATTTGTCTATTAGCTAACGTCTGTTTTCCGTGTTCATTCCTGCAGCACAGGGTCAATGACAAGGTTCAAACGTGATTTTCACAAAGTCTATAAAATGTTGAAAGGCTTTTTAACTTCCTGTTAAGAAGTAAATCAGATCTGTTACCTCAATCTTAAAGCACTTTAAAGACATAAATCTTATATTTTAGTGTGAAAAATCAAAACAAAACCTAAAGATCCCATAACTTTAATTTTGCTTCTAGGATCAGAAGGAAAAAAAAATGAAACTAGTATTTTCCCAAGATAATAGGTGATTAGTAGATAAGACTATCTTGTTTTAAGTTTACTAGATTAAAACAGTAAAATTCATGTTGAATTTTAAAATAAAACTATATTTTAAAATAATACACTTTCATTTTAACAAATAAATTTCAGCCAGTTATTTTAACAAATAAATTTCAGATTGGGAATCTGCACAAAATTTTATTCCATATATGCAATGTTAAGAATTTCTAAATAAGTGGGCACTTTTAAAGCCATATCTAGTCCATTTATGAAGTA